CAATCCAAACTGCCTAGGCTCCCACAAAACCAATAGGTGCAGTAGGATCAAAAACCCATTGCCATTGTTCTTGGGGTCTCAGTAGTCCTCATTGTCCGCTATGTTCAGCGAGACCGGTTTTAACCCAGGCTTTTTCAGACCCAGGCCAGCTGGCCTTGGTGAGTTCCCGATAGAACATCCCCATTGTCTCAGTGTGTGGATGCCCCCCTCGCGGTCCTGAGTTCCTTGCTCGTGCTCTCTCTCCTGGTGCTCCTGATTTGGACCTTGAGATTTCAGTCCGGTGCTCCAATGTGGGTCTCTGTCTCGGTCTCTTTTCATCGCCTGATGAAGGTTAATATTCAGGAGGATGCCTATATGTTTTTCTTTGGCTAAATAAGAAGGAGAACCCAAAGAAAAGATGGAATTTTTATGAACAAATACAGTACCTAGAACCAAGTAAGGAAAGGACTTGAACATCAAAGGTGTAAGGCTAGGAGACAAGAAACTAGTATGTGAGACCGAAGTCAGGACTGTGCAAGATATGTGAGTCATGCTAATGATTATGTCTGTAATCCTAAAGTGGTTACGAGACATTAAGAGTTATAAAAAACAAACCACAGCAATGGAAAAAAAATTAGTATCTTTGGAATATCATTCCCTATCAAGAGTTTAAAACTGAAAATGGTAAATATAAGTAGACCGTTAAAGATGAGGATTTACCCACTGACTATTCTGACACATAATGCCCATAATTATAACTGAAATTAATATTTTTAAAAGAGAGAAAACTCCCAATATACTCATGTAATTATATTTACAACAAAAGTTAAAATAATTTTGGTGTCTTCCTTGTCCATTGCTGTGAAATAACTTTGTAATTTTTGTCTAAATCTTCATGCTTGCTTCTCTACTGATTATCACACTAAGACAATAAACCAGTTAATTTCAGATGAGTTTGGTTATTCACTGACTTAGAAGTGCCATCTCTAGTAACTTCATGACTATACAGAAACATTTATGTTTTCCTTCCTCAAGAACAGAGCAATAGATTGATTGAATGCAGACTATGTTAAAAGATTCCTATTGATGGGACAAAAGTATGGGTTTATCAAAAAGTCATCCTCATTGATGAGGACAGTCATTGTTTGGAAAAAAGATGAGGATTACTACTAGGAGGAGATACATTTGGTGGGGCTCTAAAATAACCTACATATTTCAGTTACCTAAATACAAGGTAGAATTATGATTCATGTCCTAATAACTCTTGAACTGAATGCTTGTCTTTTCTTTATGTATTTTCCTTTAAAATGTAAACACAAACAAGCAAAAGAATCTAGATATTTTAATTTACCTGAAGAGACATCAGAATCCACTTAATGGCAAATCCTCAAAGGATGTGAGGGACTTGATTTTTTCTTCCTCTATGTGTTTATTTTTCCTTTGTATGTTCCAAATGGTCGAAGTCTGCAGTAAAGAATTGCATCTGTATTATGTGCCTCACTGTAGTAGTCACTGAAGACTGAGTATGGAGGAAATCAGAGAGGGGTTCCTAGAATTATATGAGAGACAGTTTGCACTTTCATAAAATGTGCCTTAGAATTATGAAAAGAGAAACATGGGGCATTGAGGAAATGTCTCTTTTGCTGAGAATCTATCCT